TAATTTGTTGATTGTGATCATTACTAGTATAAAAAAAATTCCAGTATCTATACTGCCATTTGTAGACGCTATAACTTTCACGTAAACCAATTAATTTACATGTATCGGATTTTTTATTATTACCTTGGAACGAAGCCCTCCAGTGGATCGCTATCAGCGCTGCAGAGGATTCCTTCTGGGTTCGTGAGTTGCAAGTGTGACACACAGCTCTAAAGGAACAGTACAGGTATGCCGTTCCGCCAGAGCGCATGTGCCGGTGATGTCACTAGCTACCGCGCACTAGAATATCTCAATAAAATAGATTAGAAAAAGCAGGAGGCGGCAGAAGCGAAGCTCAGGGCCCTACTAAACTATTTTGCACCCTAGGCAAGACCAGATACTTGCATCCCGCCCCAAAAAAAAGAAATGTATAAAATTTAAAAAAAACAGTAGAAAATATTAAATCAACAAAACATGAAACTGTTACATTTCTTTTAATTTGCAAACATAAAAGTGCCATAAGATCCCACGAGCACCAATATTAAAGACAGAATCAGTGTCCCGGATGAACTGTTGCTGTGGCTGACAGTGGCAGGGTGACCGTTGCGGTGAGTGGAGGATGATGGACCCACTCTGACAGATCTTGGGCTGGAGCTCCCCAGGCAATGGGGGAAAGTAAAACGCTGTGACAGCAGGCAGCTGAACTAAGCGATCCCACGCAGTGACAGATCCAACACAACACAGCACCACCAACACTGACACAGATCAGCAGGCACTGGGATCGTGATGATGTCATCACTCACTGACACACTGCACATGTGATGGATGTCCGGCCGGCCAGGTCACACTCACACAGACACAAAACATCAAATCGGACATTACCTTCCTCCGCAGACGCAGCTCCACCTTGAATGGCAACAGAAGGAATGGCTGGAACTCCACAGTGATCAGCAGCCACGAGCTGGCTTCCAGTAACGGACTGAATCTGAGAGGAACACTGGAACAGGGGCGGACTGACCATTTGGAAACTCAGGCACTGCCCGGGGGCAGTAAGGGGCCCCATGAGATGCCCCTGGTACCTTTTTCCTAGGCTTTTTTGAGTTTGGGCAAGGACACAGGGGCCCCATGATCTCCTATTGCCTGGGGGCCCCATGTGTTGTCAGTCCGCCCCTGCACTGGAAGGAGCCGCAGCTCAGCTGCTACACTGTTTTCAGACACCCGGCATCTTCCTCTGTCCTTTCTTCCTCCCCTCTGCCGTCTCTCCCCTCAGCTGAAGGATCATTCATGGTGTAGCGGTATCCCACACAAAGAAAGTGCTGGCCTGAGCTGTGCCCAGGTGCCCCTAGGTGGCAGTGCACCCTAGTCGGCTGCCTAGATTGCCTAGTGCAAGCGCCAGTCCCGAGTACATACACTCACTGGCCACTTTATTAGGTCCCCCTGTTCAATTGCTTGGTAACACAAATTGCTAATCAGCCAATCACATGGCAGCAACTCCATGCATTTAGGCATCTAGACGTAGTGAAGACAACTTGCTTAAGTTCAAACCGAGCATCAGAATGGGGAAAAAAGGGGATTTAAATAACTTTGAACGTGGCATGGTTGTTGGTGTCAGATGGGCTGGTCTGAATATTTCAAAAACTACTGATCTACTGGGATTTTCACTCACAACCATCTCTGGGGTTTACAGAGAAAGGTCTGAAAAGAGAAAATATCCAGTACTTGTACTAGCAAGATGTACCTAATAAAATGGCCAGTGTATATTTCCCATAAAAATCTCTGAAAAGCGTGTAAACATGAAGTAATAACAGCAATGCTAGGCACGTTACCGCATGTTTCTTTGTAATGAAGGCCTGAGGACAGTAATGGGGGGGGGGGGTCAGAGAAAGGTAATCGAGGGACTGGAGACATTAATGTGGGGCCTGAGGACAGTAATGTAGTCACTGGGGACATGGGGGGGGGGGGGGGGGGGGGACTGAGAACAGTAATGGGGTCACTGAGGATATTTTTTGGGGGGGACTGAGGACAGTGATGAGAACATTAATAGGTGGAATGAGGACAGTAATGTGGGCAGACTGAGGACAATAATAAGGGGGACTGGGGACAGTAATGGGGACACTGAGGACATTATTTGGGGGGACTGAGGACAGTAATGAAGGGTTTGAGGACAGTAATGAAGGGTTTGAGGACAGTAATAGGGGCCTGAGGACAGTAATGGGGTCATTAATGTGGGGACTGAGAACAGTAATGGGATCACTGAGGACATTATTAGGAGTGGGTAATGAGGACAGTAATGTGGGCCTGAGGACAGTAATTGGGAGGACCGAGGACAATAACAGGGGGGACTGGGTACAGTAATATGGGAACTGGAGGACAGTAATGGGGGTCACTAAATACATTATTTGGGGGGGACTGAGAACAGTAATAGGGGGGCTGAAGACATTAATAGGGGGAAATGAGGACAGTAATGTGGGCCTGAGGACAGTAATTGGGAGGACCGAGGACAATAACAGGGGGGACTGGGGACAGTAATATGGGAGCTGACAGTAATGGGGTCACTAAATACATTATTTGGGGGGACTGAGAACAGCAATAGGGGGGCTGAAGACATTAAAAGGGAGAATGAGTTCAGTAATGAATGGCTTGAGGACAGTAACGGGGGTCTGAGGACAGTAATGAGGTCACTAATGACAGTGATGGGGGGCCAAGGACAGCGATTGGGTCAGTGAGAATATTAATGGGGGAGAGCCACGCTGATGCACTAGCCTGCCCAGTGCCCTACTGCCTGTCAGGCTGGGGGAGACGGGGGAATGACACCATGTTTTACTGCACCAGGTGACACCACTGAGTGGGGTATTATACTTGCAGGTGGTGTGCTGCTTGTGGATAATAATAAAAGGAACAGAAGATTGTATTTTTACACTGAACACCACTGGGAGAATCTTTGATATTGAAAAAAAAATGTATTACATGCTGTTCCACACGTGTGAATTATGTCCTTGATTTCAAGCACAGAGCAATTTACAAAACTCTGGTTTGGCCACATGTTGGGTATGCCATCCAGTTTTGATCGTCAATCCTCAAGAAGGATGTGCTGGAACGGGGGGGAATCCAGAGAAGGCCAGCAAAGCAAATGTGAAGCCAGGAAGACCTCAACTACGAGGAATGACTACAAACATTAACAGTCTTTCCATATTCTCCGTAGAGCTAGAGTCAAAAATAGAAAGATGACCACAATACCAATAAAAAGGTAAAACTCCTGTGATAATATAAATCCAAAAAAATAGTGCAACAGGAAGACAGCGACCTCTGACCCCGTCTTATGCGAAGAACAGCTTAAATCCTCAAGTCTCCTTGGACCATGTACCAAATCTGGGCGCAGCAGAAATGCAGGCAAAAAAAATTTGCATTTCTGAAAATTTGTGAAACACGAGCTAAAATACGTAATGCATTTGTGGGGCCGTTATTTCTCAATGGCACCCCAAACATGGGTAACAGTTGCATGTTTTGCTGTGCAAAAATCGCTGTAGCAAAACATGCTTGTCTCAGTGTCAACATTTGGTTCTTGAGCTTCTTTAGTGAGTGTTGTTGGGGCAGAGGAAGGCCCATTCAAATGACTGCCACTCCAAAAATGGTCTCTTAAAAACGGGGCCTTGGATATTAGTAGATGATATAAATGAATGCAATGAGTTGTAAAGTAAAAGCGAGAAGAACATGCAATGTTTTAGTGTTTTCTTTATTATTCTCTATAAATGGAGAAGGTGGAGTGGCTCTGGATTTTGATGAATATAACCAACATATTGAATAAAGTAAACATTTTGTGCTATCATCATGTCATATATGGTATATACACCAAAGAATTAACAAATGATGCAAATTATTAAATGTGACAATGTAGGAAAAAAGTCAAAATAAGGACAAAAAGTGCTTAATATATATAACTTTGTATCTTCTGTGATCATTTAAGGTCAACCACGGCTGTGAATGAATCTCTTCAAATAGTGCAGTCCTATACGCCAGTCCTATACGCCAGTCCTATACGCCAGTCCTTACTAAGGGGTATTGACTTTATTATGAATTAAGGTGTACTGGGTCTTCCTCTCAGGTAAGCTCCCTCTGACACCATTGATCTTTTTAGCGATCAGTAAGAGGGTAACTCTTCCCAACGACCACAAGTGTAAGGAGCATTTTTCCCACCAACCATCACACTAATGTATTATGAGTCGCAGATATAGTATTTTTCAGCAGGGGTTCCCTGAGACTGGAAAGTTAATTCAAGAGTTTTTCTGCATTGAACAAGTTGAGAAATTCTGGTCTACAGTGTTTGTTTAATCCAGCCATTCTCAATCAGGGGTCCATGGAATCATAGGGTTCCTCCAGATGTTGCTATGGGTTCCTTGAGCTGTGGCTTTGTGGAACTCCCATTTAATGGTTCCTGCATAGTTTTGAGGGGGGTCAACGCCATTGGTATTTGTAGAGGTTGCATTGTGACCACCACTGTACAGAGGGGGCATTCTGCCCACAAGCCACCAATGTAAGAGACATTTTTACTCACTGACCTGCAATGGTTTGGTTTTAGCAGGGGTTCCCTGAGACCTGAATATGATTTCATGATTTGGTTGAGAAAGATTGGCTTAACCTCTTTGTTATGCCTTAGGCGTATATATGTGGCAGCACATCAGGTGGAACGTAACACCCAGCCTATGCATACATATATGCATTGCTGTGTTCTGGGACGTGCTCCATTGGCACCCCGAGAACTGTGAACAAGCTGCGGTATTGGGACTGTGCTATTGGGGATGATTCTTACACAGCAGTGGCTGAAAGTAAATGTCCACAGACAAAACAGTTATATAGGATTTACTTCATGGTTTGATTTTCTATATTATGAATTACGCCCGATTTTTGGTACGTTTGACATACAGAAACTATTAACAGAATTCTGATGTGGTAAAATACCAATCAGCGGGGTCTCCAGCCATGTCTTGCAGGATTCAATGTTGTTTTCCCAAGTCCTTGCTTCACTACGGTTTAGAAGCCAATACCAGGACGTTTCGCAGCCAAAGTTCAACCTCCGTTTCAATGGAGGACGTCCCCATGATCTGAAGGTACCTGAAAAAGGATTTATGCACAGTATTATTATACAGGACTTCTATAGCGCCAACAGTTTGTGAAGTGCTTTACAATCTAAAGAGAGACAGTACAGTTACAATAAAATACAAAAGGGGTTAAGAGGGCCCTGCTCATAAGAGCTTACAATCTAATAGGGTAGGGCAAGTGGTAAAAAAGGTTATAACTGCGGAGGATGAGCTGATGGAAGAGTTAAGGTTCAGTGGTTAGGTGCAGGCATGATAGGATTTCCTGAACAGCTGAATTTTCAGGGATTGCCTAAGAGTAGAGACTGGGGTAGGGAGTTCTAGGGCAGGGGCCTCCAAACTTAGAAGCAAAGAGCCAGTTTACTGTTCTTCAGGCTTTATGGGAGCCGGACTGTGTCCAGTGGGAGTAAAAAATGCCCCATCAATTGAGTTGTTGGAAGAATAGTGCCCCATCAATTGAGTCAGTGGAAGGAATAGTGCCCCATCAATTGAGTCAGTGGAAGGAATAGTGCCCCATCAATTGTGTCAGTGGGAGGAATAGTGCCCCATCAATTGAGTCAGTGGGAGGAATAGTGCCCCATCAGTTGTGTCAGTGGGAGGAATAGTGCCCCATCAGTTGTGTCAGTGGGAGGAATAGTGCCCCATCAGTTGTGTCAGTGGGAGGAATAGTGCCCCATCAGTTGTGTCAGTGGGAGGAATAGTGCCCCATCAGTTGTGTCAGTGGGAGGAATAGTGCCCCATCAGTTGTGTCAGTGGGAGGAATAGTGCCCCATCAGTTGTGTCAGTGGGAGGAATAGTGCCCCATCAGTTGTGTCAGTGGGAGGAATAGTGCCCCATCAGTTGTGTCAGTGGGAGGAATAGTGCCCCATCAGTTGTGTCAGTGGGAGGAATAGTGCCCCATCAGTTGTGTCAGTGGGAGGAATAGTGCCCCATCAGTTGTGTCAGTGGGAGGAATAGTGCCCCATCAGTTGTGTCAGTGGGAGGAATAGTGCCCCATCAGTTGTGTCAGTGGGAGGAATAGTGCCCCATCAGTTGTGTCAGTGGGAGGAATAGTGCCCCATCAGTTGTGTCAGTGGGAGGAATAGTGCCCCATCAGTTGTGTCAGTGGGAGGAATAGTGCCCCCATCAGTTGGGTCAGTGGGAGGAATAGTGCCCCATCAGTTGTGTCAATGGGAGGAATAGTGCCCCATCAGTTGTGTCAGTGGGAGGAATAGTGTCCCATTCAATTGAGTCAGTGGGAGGAATAGTGTCCCATCAATTGAGTCAGTGGGAGGAATAGTGTCCCATCAATTGAGTCAGTGGGAGGAATAGTGTCCCATCAATTGAGTCAGTGGGAGGAATAGTGCCCTAAGAGCTGGATAAAGGCAAGCAAAGGGCCACAGTTTGTAGACTACTGTTCTAGAGGATAGGAGAGGCTCTGGAGAAGTCCTGTAGACAAATATGGGAGGTGGAGACAAGAGAGCTAGAGAGCAGGAGATCCTTGGAAAAGCAGAGAGGACAGTTTGGATGATATTTGGAGACAAGATTGGCGATGTAGCTCGGGGAAGAGTCGTGGATGGCTTTGTATGTTGTTGTTAATATTTTGAATTTAATTTGCTGGGTAATCAGAAGTCAATGGAGGGATTGGCAGAGAGGGGTGGCAGACACTGAGCGGGTGGTAAGCTATAGGAGTCTGGCAGATCATGATAGACTGAAGAGGGGATAGCCTATGGAGAGGTAGGCCTATGTGAAAGGAGTTGCAATAGTCAAGGAGACAGATAACAAGGGAGTGAATGAGTAGCTTGGTGGTTTCTTTGGTTAAAAAAGGGTGAATTGTAAAGGTGTTACAGAGGTGAAGTCTACAAGTTTGATAGTGATTGGATTTGGGGCCAAAAGGATAGGTCAGAGTCCAGGATTAGAGCCAATACCCTGGTGTGAGGGGGGGGGGGGGGAACTGATAGTTGTATTATTGATCTTGATGGAAAAGTCAGGGTGGAGGGCACGAGTTGAGGGAAATATCAGCTCAGATTGGAAGGATTTTGTCTAAGGAAGTGGTGTGACACATCCACGTTGATATGTCAGTAAGCTAGTAATGCGAGAGGAGACTAAAGGAGCGAAGAGACGAGTGGAGAGATTTGGGTGTTGTTGGAGATGGTATTGGAAGCTATGGGAGGTTATCAAGTGACCAAGAGAGGAGGTGTAGATAGGGAAGAGAAGGGGTCCAAGAACAGAGCCTTGGGGGACCCTTATAGAAAGAGGAATTGGAGTAGAGGAGACAGCATTATAGGTAACAATGAAGGAGCACTGTGACAGATAGGAGGGGAACCAGAAAAAAAAACTGAATCTTGGAGGCCAAGTCAGTGGAGTATATTCCGAGATCATTCCCAAAGACTAATACCTGCAATCTCTCCAAGCCAAACTTCATGAAAACCGTTTTTTTTTTTTACTGGCTTCCAGTTGGGTTAAAGGCTTGGTCCACCTTTTGGACCAGGATTATATTACACTCATATATAAGGTAAAACATGAAACACTGATGCATACCCCACCCCCAAGACCCACATCACAAGGTGCATCTTCCTAGGAAGTCCTGTTTATTTTTTTTTTTTTAATTTGGGGGGCTGTGTTTGGTTCTTTTCACACAGTTGTGTCATGAATGGAAATTACGACACGTTCTATCTGCCATCATTGCAGATGGGCTCAGCATAGCATGCTGGCAGAAAAGCCCTGACTTCACTGCAAGTCAAGGGTACTCTATCTGCACTTTCCCCAGTCCCAGAAAAGAAGGCCCACACCTCCGTCCAGACCATTTCCAAGTCTGTACAAAGGTACCAACCTAAGTAAAAATAAAAACGTTCTGTAACAGCTTTGAACATGTTAGCCAGATTCTCGCTTTAACTTGATGTATACTTAAAGACTATTTAAAGCTTCATGTCCTTCTAAGATCGTTCAGTCCACAGGGTGACAACGCTGCTGCACGATTTTGACTTTTCTTGTCCTGTGTTCCCCCGCTGCTACTTCCTGTCCTATTCACCTACATTCTCACCTTTCCTCTACTGTTTTTATAGTTTCTTTTGCTTTCTCAGGCTCACTCCTAAGATACGACTGGAACATGGAGAAGGTCTGAATAAATCCCAGCAGACCTGACAATGGCATTCGGATTTTGGTCACAACGCTTTCTATCCTGTAAAGGCAAAATAGCACTGCGAGTTAATGAAGAGGTTAAAGAAAACAAATGCAATCTGAGCAATTCTATTATCAGTTATTTATATAGTGGGATCATATGCCGTAGCGCTGTATAAAAGGAAAATAAAAGGGTGACTAAAGCAGAGAATACCAAAGTATACAACCAATTGCAGCTTCTGCAATTAGTACCTTGTCCCCATGTGGATGAGGACAATGGCCTCTTCTGCACTACCCTGGCCTGGTGGCTGTGCCTTATCGGAATCTGGAGGCCCCCCTTTACCAAGATCTCGTCCCCACCCATGTGAATGAGTATGGGGTAAATAGTATCTCTACTCATTCACCAAAACAGAATGTCAAAAAGTAAAATAAAAATACAAACACCATTTCTGACATTTCCTTAAAAAAAAAAAAAAAAAAAAAACCCCACACCACATCCCCTGATCTTAATCCAGTGTCAATAACGATGGACACCGACCTGTAAGAATAATAAATAAAAAAACAAAACCGGTCCCGTCGCTGACACTTGCCGAATCACAGGTAAACATGGGGGAGAGGTCACCCCATAATCAATCATTCACATGGAGAGGACCTAGGATCTGGGGGTCCCCTTGTTTCTAAAAGGGTAACCCCTACACCCCCACCAAGCTAGAGTTGTGGGGAAGGGGTACTTGTCCTCATCAACATGGGGACAAGGTGCTTTTGGAGGGGAGCACCCCCCCCCCCAAAAGCACCCCACCCATGTTGAAGGCATGCGGCCTGGTATGGCTCGGGGGGCACTAAATCATCCCCCCCTTTCCTGGCCTACTGGGCTGCATGCTCAGGTAAAGGTTTGGAATGGATCATGGGGTGACCCCATGACATTTTTATTTTTACACTCTGGCATGGGGTTCCCCTCAAAATCCATACCATACCCCAAAAACCTGGTATGGATTGGGAGGAGACCCCCACACCTTTTTTTTTTTTTTTTCATGCCAGCATTCATTTGGTTACATTCTGCTATCAGCAGGGAATCCTATTTACAGTTATTAACCCTTTCAACCATTTTGTGAAAAGATATGGCAATATGACAATGTGAATGCAAAGAACCCATTAAAGGGTGACAAGAGGTTACACCGTATCAGATGAGTGATCTATAGAAGTAGTCGGACCTTCTTTTGTCGGTGTAAGGGATGGATTCAAATATTTCCTTGTATCCAGTCTTCACATGGTGAACCTTCTCGTGCTGATATGGAGCCAGAATATTTTCCACCTGAAAATAAATAAAATCTTTTTCCTTACACATTGGGACAATAGTGATTTTACAATAATTCATTTAGGATGAACTTACTGTACATTTAAAAAGTTGGGTCCACGTTAAAATCCAGTTGAACCTCCTTTAAAATCAGATAAATACATTCCAGGTGCATCAAAATAAAGGTGTACAAAGTCTTACGGGTAATTTTCTTTACAAAGCAGCCACAGCCGGAGTAGAAAAGCCCATCCACTGCCAGTGGCTGAAAAGAAGGACCCTTGCTCTCTGTGTTGAAGCAGTGGCCTCTTTGCCGAGGTCCAACGTGCTCCCTGTGGAGTCAGACCTACAGCTCTGCAAGTCAGTGAAGCTCATACTCCCTGTGCATTGGAAAGCCCTAGCTGTGAATAAGCAAGTAAGGGGTCAGATCTCTGAAGAGAGACCACTGCTTCCACACAGGGAGCAAGGATCCTTCTCTGCTGCAGCTGGCAGGAGACAGGCTTTTCTACTCAGACTGTTGTTGGTTTTCTGCTCAAGCACACTGTAAGACATTGTACACCTTTTGATTTGATACACCTGAGATGTATTTATCTGATTTACCAAAACGTTCAACTGGCTTTCAATAGAGATGGCCACATAGGCCTAAAACGTGATTCCTGCTGAATTGGACAAAATTAGAGCTGTGGGTGTCCCCGTCACAACTTCCCCCACTCAACAAAAGAGAAATGTCAAGCTTAAAGCTGAACTGCAGAGAAAGGAAATGTTCCCCCTAGCATTGGGGCTGACCCTGCACTACAGGGGTTAATTGGGGAGCCTCAAAAAGCACTTTTAATTACCCACTCCTTCACTCACACAGGCTCCCTCCAGACTTTAAGACTGGTTTCCGCAGCCTCTTCTGTGCTACGGTCCAGCAGTCGCAAGTCCTCTGCAGGGGCGGACTGACCATTCAAGCACTCGGGCACTGCCCGAGGGCCTGGGGTCAGTAGGGGGCCCCATGAAATGCCCCTGGTACCTTTTTTATAGGCTTTTTTGAGTGGGCAAGGACACAGGGCCCCATGATCCCCTATTGCCCGGGGGCCCCATGAGTTGTCAGTCTACCCCTAGTCCTCTGACATCATCAAATGCAATGCAAAGCCCATAGCTCTGCACATGAGGACACCAAGGGGCAGTTCATAGACAGGTAGGAGAGCTCTGGGTGCAGGAGCGGAAGACCCAGGAGCGGAAGACCCAGGAGCGGAGGACCCAGGAGCGGAAGACCCGGAGCGGAGGACCCAGGAGCGGAGGACCCGGAGCGGAAGACCCAGGAGCGGAGGACCAGGAGCGGAAGACCCAGGAGCGGAAGACCCAGGAGCGGAAGACCCAGGAGCGGAGACCCGGAGCGGAAGACCCAGGAGCGGAGGACCGGGAGCGGAAGACCCAGGAGCGGAGGACCGGGAGCGGAAGACCCAGGAGCGGAGGACCGGGAGCGGAAGACCCAGGAGCGGAGGACCGGGAGCGGAAGACCCAGGAGCGGAGGACCGGGAGCGGAAGACCCAGGAGCGGAGGACCGGGAGCGGAAGACCCAGGAGCGGAGGACCGGGAGCGGAAGACCCAGGAGCGGAGGACCGGGAGCGGAAGACCCAGGAGCGGAGGACCGGGAGCGGAAGACCCAGGAGCGGAGGACCGGGAGCGGAAGACCCAGGAGCGGAGGACCGGGAGCGGAAGACCCAGGAGCGGAGGACCAGGAGCGGAAGACCGGGAGCGGAGAGCGGGACCCGGAGCGGAAGACCCAGGAGCGGAGGACCGGGAGCGGAAGACCCAGGAGCGGAGGACCGGGAGCGGAAGACCCAGGAGCGGAGGACCGGGAGCGGAAGACCCAGGAGCGGAGGACCGGGAGCGGAAGACCCAGGAGCGGAGGACCGGGAGCGGAAGACCCAGGAGGACCGGAGGACCAGGAGGGAGCGGAAGACCCAGGAGCGGAGGACCGGGAGCGGAAGACCCAGGAGCGGAGGACCGGGAGCGGAAGACCCAGGAGCGGAGGACCGGGAGCGGAAGACCCAGGAGCGGAGGACCGGGAGCGGAAGACCCAGGAGCGGAGGACCGGGAGCGGAAGACCCAGGAGCGGAGGACCGGGAGCGGAAGACCCAGGAGCGGAGGACCGGGAGCGGAAGACCCAGGAGCGGAGGACCGGGAGCGGAAGACCCAGGAGCGGAGGACCGGGAGCGGAAGACCCAGGAGCGGAGGACCGGGAGCGGAAGACCCAGGAGCGGAGGACCGGGAGCGGAAGACCCAGGAGCGGAGGACCGGGAGCGGAAGACCCAGGAGCGGAGGACCGGGAGCGGAAGACCAGGAGCGGAGGACCGGGAGCGGAAGACCCAGGAGCGGAGGACCGGGAGCGGAAGACCCAGGAGCGGAGGACCGGGAGCGGAAGACCCAGGAGCGGAGCGGGACCAGGGGAGCGGACAGGAAGACCCAGGAGCGGAGGACCGGGAGAGGAAGACCCAGGAGCGGAGGACCGGGAGCGGAAGACCCAGGAGCGGAGGACCGGGAGCGGAAGACCCAGGAGCGGAGGACCGGGAGCGGAAGACCCAGGAGCGGAGGACCGGGAGCGGAAGACCCAGGAGCGGAGGACCGGGAGCGGAAGACCCAGGAGCGGAGGACCGGGAGCGGAAGACCCAGGAGCGGAGGACCGGGAGCGGAAGACCCAGGAGCGGAGGACCGGGAGCGGAAGACCCAGGAGCGGAGGACCGGGAGCGGAAGACCCAGGAGCGGAGGACCGGGAGTGGCGAACCAGGAGTGCAAAGAACCTCCTAATATTACTAGTAATATTAGTACTGTATTTAAAGCAGACATCTTAAGGATCTTCAGTCCAGCCAACAAATACAAATCCTGTAACTGCTGACTTTTAACAAAGACACTCGCCTGTCCAAGGATCCAGCTTCGTCCTCACCTGGGTCAGTTCTTTACTGGTCTTCAGGTCCCTGGTGCCGGCAGGTTAACGGAGCTGGCTGTGACTCCTTGCAGCTTTACAGATGGCTTCCCACTGTGCATGTGTGAGTCGCACTGTACTACCAGAATGGTTCCGCAGACTTTTGGGACCTGCGATGGGTTCCAGAAGGCTGTGGGCAAAAAAGGGTGGGGCCTAGGTGTTCCAAGCAGAAGCGGTAGCAGGTACCTATCAAAAATAGGTTCTCGATTCCCCAAAAAATAAAGTGTCCAAAAGTGATAGAGGAAGGGGGGAGGGGAAAAAAGTTGAATTGCCCCTTTATAGTACAGAATTAATGAAGCTTAGCTGACCAAAGGCTTCTAAATCCTTACATCGAACTTTTATATCATAACAGAGCTACTTATCACTTGCAGTATGCAAAACAAGGGGTACTGAAAACACAAAAACATTCAATACTGACGTCTGCAAAGACTTGGCTCATCTGTTCTGAGCGCTCCTTGTAGTGAACTTCCATGTGGGGGAGATAGGAGAAGAAAGCGAGGCAACCTCGTGGCTTTAAGATCCGATCCACCTGAAATGATGACGTCTACATTATAATATCAGCAAAAATGTGCCCCATTCACTGAACAGGATGAAATAATGACAGTATCAAACAAATTAAAAAAAAAAAAAAAAAAAAAAAAAAAAAAAAAAAAAATGTATAATCTAGCGTACAGACTTCTGTGATTTTGGAATATAATGTGTAGCACGGTGTATAGAGCGCAGCAGTTGGGGTATCTAGTGTATAGCATAGTGTTTAGTGTGCAGCAGTTTGGGGTATTGTAACGGAACCGACTCCATTCTGCACTTGGGTACTTCCGTTAGAATACCGCTTCCCTGTCCGAACACCGACCTCAGACACCACCACCGACCATACAATACTAGACGACACCAGTCTTGAAGTAAACCAGGAAATAGACTCATTTATTTTAGACACAGATACAAGATATATACACTCAAGGGGACAGTCCCCCCCCCCCCCCGCATAATGACACAGGGCAGGGCAATCTACCTTTAGTAACAAGAGACACACCAGCAGACAGTCCCATCAGGAGGGAGGGCTGCTGGAAACACCCCCACCAAGCCAATACACAAACACATATCCCATAATAGTTTGCTCCCAAGCAAGACACACAATAGAACAATGGGATGCAACCACATGGCATTAAACAATCAACAACCCCCCCACCCCAATATTAGGACAGATCACCCTGTACCCCTAACAGGCACAGGGTGATTTACACATAATAGGGATAGGGGGAGCTGAGACAGGGGTCTCCCCATCTCTCCAAAGTGAGCTGGGTTCCTTGGCCCCCCCACCCAAAGTGACTCCCGTCACAGGTATGTAATGTATAGCACAGTGTTTAGTGTGCAGCAGTTTGGTATATGTAATATATAGCACAGTGTACAGAGTGCAGCCGTCATTTTTTCAACGATCCCGACCCGCATCACCACTCACGAGCAACCCGTATCCTCCTTCACCTCCTATATACCAGCTGGGTGCTCAAGCCCAGGAGTCCACTCTGATCCCACTCCACTCTAAGTTTCAATAAGTCAAGTCACACACCAAAGGTCTGTGCTCCACTGTTTATTCCACTGACAACTCCTGCTGGAAGCCACACCCCTAAAGTGTTTTACCCATCACCAGGGGCGGACTGACCATTTGGAAACTCGGGCGCTGCCCGAGGACCCGAGGGTCAGTAGGGGGCCCCCATGAGATGCCCCTGGTACCTTTTTCATAGGCTTTTTTGAGTTTGGGCAAGGACACAGGGGCCCCATAATCCCCCATTGCCCGGGGGCCCCATGAGTTGTCAGTCCGCCCCTGCCCATCACAGGATTTAACGATTAGGTTCTGTGATGGTTGAAACGCGTCAGTGCATTGGCCTCCGGCAGGAGTTGTCGGTGTCAGTAGGTTAAACAACAGTGGAGCAGAGGCTTTTGCTGTGTGGCTTGACTTATTGGAGTTCAGTTTGGTGTATGTATTGCATAGCACAATGAGCAGATGCAGTGATCCACTGAATGCAATATACAGCACAGCAGTTAAGGGTATGCAAGTTAAATCATAATGTAGAAGGTATGTAAAAAACAAAATGCATGCATTGTACAGCTGTATACAACAACACAATGTTCAGGGGTGCAGATTCTGTTAACATGCAGCACAGTGTACAGAATGCAGTGGTCAGGCATATGTAACGTACAGCACATTTTACAAGGTGCAGCAGTCAGAAAAATTAAAAATGAGAAGATTCATTTTTTTACCTCTTTTAGAAACTTCTCAATGTTAAACCAATGGACAGCAGCGCAGGCTGTTAGTAGATCGACAGAGGCGTCACCAACCGGCACCTCTTCAGCTGGACAGGCACTGCAGGGACGATAGGTTAGGCTAGAATTAGTGACCCCATTTAGTTAGATTTACAGCCCCACCCTGGACTCTGTGCTTCTGACTTTTCTGCCCCATCAATGCCCCAAAGGACACAATGGGGTCGGTCTGTTTATAACGGATTCACTGAAGAATGTCCTCACCTGTATGTGACATTGGGTGACCCCGGGGCTTTCTTGGCCTCCTCTATCTGAGCCTCACTGATGTCGGTTCCGAGGACTTTCTCAAAGAACGGAGAGAGAATTCTTGTGCTCTGCCCCGTTCCACAGCCAACGTCCACGGCAAATCCATAGGGTTTAGGCAGCTAGGAAGACAAAAACATCCTCAAAATATATCAGAGGGACACTGCTGTTGTTTTCAGTCCAACCTCTCGCCGCCCACGTAATGCATATGTGTGGCTGCAAAGAGGGTGGGCTTTAGAGTCCACACACCACACATAGTAGTCCATAGAAGGCCAAGATTTCTGTGCTGAAATCCCAGCACAGTGATTGAATCATAGCCAGCTCTTGGCCACCTTTCCCAATCAGGGGCTAATGGGCCAGGCTTCCGATCATGTGACCACTGTGAAAGCCAATCATGATCATCGTTTTGTAAAGCACTGCGCAAACTGTTGGGGCTATATAAATCCTGTTTAACAATTGTAGCACCCTCCTAGGTAGCTAGGGGGAACTAGACTCCAATTGTTAGCTAGGGCTGAGCAGCAGCCTGGAAGGAATAGCTAGCTGGGGTTCAAAATTGGGTCAGAGCTGAGAGGCTCTGCAGACCAGCCCTCTGGAATTTCTCACTGCACTAGAACTTTGGAGAAAGTTCCAGAAGCAGTGGGTGGATCTAAGGAGTGGCTGATTGGCACTTTTGAGGGTGCCTGAACAATCCCCATGAGGAGGCTTGGCAAGGGGCCAGGACAACCCTTAAAAGTGATTGAGCCTGCTCAGCAGCAGGAGAGATTTGGTGGAAAAAAAAGAATGATGTGAGGCTGGGGCCGGAGCCTATCAGGGGGCCCAGATGGAAAGGGGCTCACCTGCAGACAGAGGACCTTGGGAGGCTGAAAACTTGGAACTTCACTGGCCCGCTGAGAGAGGACCACCTGCGTGGCAAGGAAGGAGCAGCCCAGCTAGATGGCTTGGTAGCAGCCAGCAACCCACCAGCAATTTGATCTATCCAAAACTGATCTCATAATATTTCCTCCCCCATGTGCCTCTTCCCCTGATTTCTCGGTCAGGATCAATAGCAACACTATCAACCCATCCCCCGCATGCCAGGGTGCTAGGTGTAACTATGTAATCTGAACTATCCTTTCAGGCCCACATCCAATCCCTGTCCAAATCATGCCGCCTCAACCTCTGCAACATCTCCAGAATACGCCCATTTTTAACCAATGATACCACAAAGCTCCTAACTCACTCCCTGGTCATCTCTCGCCTCGACTACTGCAACTCCCTCCTCATTGGATGACCTTTACATAGGCTGCCCCCCCTCCAGTACACCATGAACACTGCTTCCAGGCTCATCCACCTTACTAACCATTCAGTGTCCTCCACCCCTCTCTGCCAATCCCTCCACTGGCCTTACATTCAGTGTCCTCCACCCCTCTCTGCCAATCCCTCCACTGACCTTACATTCAGTGTCCTCCACCCCTCTCTGCCAATCCCTCCACTGGCCTCCATTCAGTGTCCTCCACCCCTCTCTGCCAATCCCTCCGCCGGCTTCCACTCGCCCAACGAATAAAATTCAAAATACTAACAACAACTTACAAAGCCATCCACAACTCTGCCCCCAGCTACATCACCAACCTGGTCTCAAAATATCAACCAAACCGCTCTCTTCGATCCTCCCAAGACCTTCTGCTCTCTAGTTTCCATGTCACCTCCTCCCATGCTCACTTCCAGGACTTCTCCTGAGCTTCTCCCATCCTATGGAACTCCCTACCCCAATCTGTCCAGCTATCTCCTAATCTATCCACCTTTAGACGATCCCTGAAAACCTCTCTCTTTAAAGAAGCCTATCCTGCTTCTACCTAGTAAACTGCCATTTATTTCCTCCATCAGCCCATCCCCCCCACAGATATTACCTTTTGTATCACTCAACCCTTCCTCCTAGATTGTAAGAACTAGCGCGCCGGGCCCTCTGTTTTCTCTTGTACCATATTGTATTGTAACTGTAATGTATGCCTTCAATTTGTAAAGCTCTGAGCAAACTGTTGCCGCCATATAAATCCTGTATAATAATAAAAAATAATATTTGAGAAGTTGATGAATTATTTTGGAAAATAGGAATAAAAAAAAAAAAAATTTTTTTGGTGTTCTGAATAAAGCATGAAAGAGTTAGACCCTCTGTCATGGTCTTGATTTTTTACTCACTTGCTGTCCCTGGGGGCACCATTAATTGGGACAGGAAGGTGGGGGAAATTTCCCTATCGAGTCACAGACAGTAGTGAGAATCTGACAGCACTCTTCCCTGCTCTGTCCAATAGAGAGAAAAAAAAAAGTTTTGGCTGGACACCCCCTTTAATAAAACTGGAGTGGCTCTACTTATCCAAGCGAAGTCATTCTACTTTGTTTTTAGCAGAGGGAAGCGTCTCTCACCCTTTCATCCACAAAACTGAAGATAAGGTCGATTATTTCTTGCGGTGGCTCAAACCTGAATTTTTGATAATACGAGGCGTGCTCCTTTCCTTCAAACAGCTGTGTAGACATTGCCGACTCAGATTACCACCTATAGTTATAAATCAGAAAAAAAAAACATTTGTTTTTTTAAATAAAAAAAAAAAGACATACAATATATAAAAAAGGGACTTTATGGGGGGGGGGGGGGGTGTCCTTTCCAATCACTTTAATCTGCATGGACAAGATGAACATACAATATAGAAAGGAGATGGAGTGTGACATGAAAAGTAAAAGGCTTTGTTCAGGACTTTCATTAGCAGGTCGATGAGGAGGAGCCAGAGAAGGAGAAATATAAGCAGGTGATACTTCAGCTTTCAGCGACATTTTGTAGGGAAAGGCGACTCCCTTGCGGAATCTCTGTTCTGCGGGCCATGAAATCGCACATTGCTGAATGTCAGCAGAATGCTACAAATGTGTTCTTCTGATTTGTTACTCGATGCTAGAATTATAAAATAAACAAAGTCATATTGTGGCAATAAAGTCTACAACAATGTAACCGTTTCTGTATACAACCCACACATCAGACCCGATGGAGGCGGCTGGGAAGGATTTTATTCCAGATGACTTCACTGATTCTCTATCCACAGAAAAGTGAGATTTTAATCATGGATGGAACCTGGCCAGCAGAACAGGGGCGGACTGACAACTCATGGGGCCCCCAGGCAATAGGGGATCATGGGGCCCCCTGTGTCCTTGCCCAAAACTCAAAAAAGCCTATGAAAAAAAAGGTACCAGGGGCATCTCATGGGGCCCCCCAACTGACCACGGGCCCTCGGGCAGTGCCAGAGTTTCCAAATGGTCAGTCCGCCCTGCAGCAGAGCCATCCCCGACCGTAATTCCTGACCCTTCTCCTGTTCCACCAGGGAGTTTCCAGTATCCTTTCCCTTCTTTGTGTTTCAGAAGCTCTTCCAGTTACATTGTCCACAACATAAAATAGAGAGAAATTCCACAGGGATGGTGGAAACCAGGGCCGGACTGACCATTTGGAAACACGGCACTGCCCACCAGGGTTTCCGGTGGGAAGTCCCTTCAGTGTGGGGGCCCATTCCAGATTCCCCACAGGTAAATTTTTCAGGGATGGCTTGGGAACCAGACACAGGGGCCCCATGATCCCGTATGGTGCCCATGGGCACCCCATGGCAACTTCAGTCCACAGGATGGTGGGAACCCCTCATAATGGGCAACAGGGAACCCAGCACAGGGTGGTACATAATGGGCCCCGGGGGAACTCACCGGCGCAAGCACGGGGATGGTGGGAACCCTCATAATGGGCTCACAGCGGGTGTATACAGGACCCAGGAACTCAGCACAGGGATGGTGGGAACCCCTCATAATGGGCACAGCAAGTGTACAGACGGGAACTCAGCACAGGGGTGGTGGGAACCCCTCATAATGGGCACAGCTGGTGTACAGACCCGGGTAAAACTCAGCACAGGGGTGGTGGGAACTCCTCATAATCGGCACAGCTGGTGTACAGACCTGGGAACTCGGCACGCACACAAAAAAAAAAAAAAAAAATGTAAGGGGCTCTATCATTTTCCATTTAGGTGGATTGGATCAGAGGTAGTTGGTGTAAATGGACAGCAGAATATGTTGACACCCGCCCCCCCTCCCTCTAGAACAGGCTCTGTCGGTGGTCACTCTGCAGGAAACTGAGCAGACACGGACGTGTCATTTGCCCGCTCTGCTCCAATCAGCGAAGGATCTGCGAGATCCATCAGAATGGAGTCCACCCAGCAAGGAAAGGTCCTTAGAGAGATTTCCCCTCACTTCCTGTCCCAGTGACAACACTTCACCAGACAGGAGTCCCCTCCCTCCCCCTCCATATACACATCTATATGAAGAGGAATGGGACGAATGAATGTGAACTCACCCCAGGTGCCAATCTTCAGACCTCACTCGCCGTACAAGAAATGATCAGCCCCTGGGCGGCAGCGTGCCCGCGTCCTTTCCTCCTCCGATGTAACTTTGCTGAACTTTGGACCGGCTGGCACAGAGTTAATGAGAGGCCCTGGCACTGCCTTCTCCAAACAATATGATCTGTTATCGCTCAACTGAATCCATTAATGTCCAATTATTATTCTTAATTGTCGGTCAGCACCCCTCCCCCATCAGCCTGCACCCCTCCCCCATCAGCCTGCACCCCTCTTCCCTCCCCAGCATACATACATACAGACACAGTGTGATCTCCAGGAACCAGAGATGGACTCCTCCACCTCTCCAATGGAGGGGTAGAAGACAAGAAACGCACTGCTGGGGAATACAGAGAGCGAGCGATACAATGTAACAACAAAGAATTGTATCCATCTGAAAAGAGATCAGACTGGATACATTGTGTGTAATGGAGGCAGGACACAGGATCCCCGCATTGCCCCCCCCCCCCCGTTATCTGCACTTGTACAATCTGCATATAACGTGACGTATGCAGCAGCAGTGCAATGGCGGAGTACAAAGGGGAAGGTGGTGTCGGGGAATGTCCTGGAATGACTCCACGTTAACCCCGGCATCACACCGAAGTGTTTTCCGCAGCATTTTGCAGAAACGCAGTACAGTCCATTGAACATGATTTCCTATGGGGACAGGGTCACACCTCCGCGTGTTTTCACCGGTGCGTTTTTTTGGAAAGGGTCAGGACTTTTTTGAACATTAAGTTTTTTGGTTCTATAGACTTCAATGGAAATGCTGCAGAAAAGCATGTATTGTGTTTTTGATGCATTTTTTCGCGTGTTTTAAATCTGCCTAGCAACAAGGAAAGTAAAAAAAAAAAAAGCAAACCGCGGCAAAAACACACCAAAACGTCACGTGTTCATCCCCAGCATGTATAAAGGCACCATCCACCTTCTGCAAAAATGTAATAAATGCACCTACCTTACTAAACTAAAAACTATTTGCATTTTTGCACTGAAGCCTGCAGAGCATCGCAACCATGATTAGTGCATTCCAGGTTTATATCCCAGGACAAGGTCAGGATGACGTTTCCAGTGTGGGGCTGGTGGAAGTTGTGAATGGACTGCAAGACATGACTGCACTTATGAGCTGTGAGTCCCTCTACTGGTGGTAGATGAGACTTCTAGGGCTTGATTTACTGAAACTGGAGAGTGCAAAATCTGGTGCAGCTGTGCATGGGAGCCAATCAGCTTCTACCTTTAACTTGTTCAATTAAAGGATAAGTTTACCTTTTGCATAAAAATAATAACTGCACATCTTTTTTCAGGTCTCCTGCAGACCTCTCTGTATATCTGCTATGGGTGTATGGAATGTAGGGGATATACAGGGATGTATGGGGTGTATGGGATGTATGGGATGTACGAGATATAGGGGAATGTACGGATGAGGGGGATGTACGGGATGTAGGGGATGTATGGGATGTAGGGGATGTATGAGATATAGGGGATGTATGAGATGTAGGGGATGTACGGGATGTATAGGGGGGTGTAGGGTATGTACAGGATGTATAGGTGTGAGGGGATGTACAGGGGTATAGGGGATGTACAGGGGGTGTAGGGGGATGTACAGGGGTGTATGAGATGTAGAGGCAGGGTTTCTCAACCTTTTTTCAGTCAAGGCACCCTTTTAAAATTATGGAGAGTCCCGAGGCACCCCATTATAAAAATGTATGGGATGTACAGGGATATAAGATGTATAGGGATGTACTGGGATGTATAGGGATGTACAGGGTGTACAGGGTGTACGGGGATGTAGGGGGTGTATGGGATGTACAGGGTGTAGGAATGTAGGGGGTGTACGGGGATGTACAAGATGTATTGGAGTGTACGGGGTGTACGGGATGTAGGGGGTGTATGGGGTATAATACAAGACGTATAGGATGTACAGGGTGTACGGGGGATGTATGGGGGCTGCATGGGGATTACGGGGTGTATGGTATGTAGGGGATTACAGAATGTAGGGGTGTATGGGGTGTACAAGGGTGTATGGGATGTACAGGAGTACAGGGTGTATGGGATGTACAGGATGTACGAGATGTAGGGGATATGGGGTGTACAGGGATGTATGGGGTGTAAGGGATGTACTGGGTGCAGGGGATGTACAGGATGAAGGGGTGTATGGGATGTAGAGGGTGTAGGGTGTACGGGGATGTACAAGGATGTTACAGGGTGTACGGGGTTGTATGAGATGTATGGAGTGTATGGGATGTAGGAGGTGTAGGGGATGTGTATGGGATGTACATGGATGTACAGGATGTACATGGGATGTGTATGGGATGTACAGGGTGTATGGATGTACATGATGCACTTTCCCATTGCCCATGCCACCACTGAAAATCTGCACTCCACTACACACACCTCACTCCCCAGTGCCATGCCACCACTGAGATGCACTGCACTCCACTACACACACACCACATTCCCCAGTGCCCATGCCACCAGTGAGAGTTCTGCACTCCAGTACACACACACCTCACTCCCCAGTGCCCATGCCACCACTGAGATCTGCACTCCACTACACACACCTCACTCCCCAGTGCCCATGCCACCAGTGAGTTCTGCACTCCAGTACACACACCTCACTCCCCAGTGCCCATGCCACCACTGAGATCTGCACTCCACTACACACACCTCACCCCCCGTGCCCATGCCACCAGTGAGATCTGCACTCCAGTACACACATCTCACCCCCCGTGCCCATGCCACCACTGAGATCTGCACTCCACTACACACACCTCACTCCCCCCGTGCCCATGCCACCAGTGAGATCTGCACTCCAGTACACACACCTCACCCCCCGTGCCCATGCCACCAGTGAGATCTGCACTCCAGTACACACACCTCACCCCGTGCCCATGTACCAGTGAGTGTGCCCAGTGTTCACCGTGAGATCTGCAGTCCACTACACACACCTCACTCCCCCCGTGCCCATGCCACCAGTGAGATCTGCACTCCAGTACACACACCTCACCCCCAGTGTTCATGTCACCACTGAGATCTGCACTCCACTACACACACCTCACCCCCCCGTGCCCATGCCACCAGTGAGATCTGCACTCCAGTACACACACCTCACCCCCAGTG